TATCGGCCGGATGACTGTGTGTAAGTGTGTGTGAGAATTGAATAGTTTGTGGATGAATAGCAAATGGAATAATTATTTTCTTACTCATTTATAGTTACTATGATATTGATATAGACTCGGCTTGGTAGCGAATAGCAAATCGCGAACTCTATTAGCTAAATCGACTAGTGAATTGTGTGATGTACAGAGTCGGTCTTATATATTATTGGACCCTGGGCCAAGCAAAAAAAATGCCCTAATTAGTTTTTTTTCCTAACGAAAAATGTTAGAAATTCTGTAATACAAATAATGACATTTTTTTTTTCCTAAAAGAATGATAAAACTTATATAATCCCAAATATAAGATATAACTTCATGATAAAAGCTCACAACAATAAGCAAAGTAAGATGCAGTAGAGATACAACTTCACGAGTTTTTGGAGGTGCTTTCATGGATGGATGGGGACTAGCAAAAGATTGATACAAAAAGGAGTGCAAGTGGACCCCATCTGCTGCTGGTGAGGAGATGCAGAGGAAGACTCTTGGATCTCATGTTCAACTGTGTTGGAGCACAAAAGAGTTGGAAACTAGAGGCATGTCCTGGGAAGTCTTACGACAACAAACGGTGAACTTTCAAGACTGGTGGTAGGAGCTGTGAGTATGATGTTGGTATATGTGTCCTAGAGACAATCATTTCAAGGACATATATACATGATCACATTAATAATTATATTAGATTATAATTATGGTATTGCAATTAATTAAATAATTGTTTGATTGTTTGTAATTTATTAATTAATTGCTCCCTTGAGTTGATATTGTCATTAGCAGAGTGATATGTTAATTGATAAAGTATAACTCTAAAATCGCCTCAATCGATGATCATTAAGAAAGGGATATTAATGATACGCGATAAATTGACATGTGGTCTGCATCATATTCTTAGAGAATATAGTATGTCTCACTGCTATGAATAATTGTTATTCGTGATGGACACATGGATACTTTGGAGAGTATTGGCATACCCTACCGATAAACCATTTGTTCATGTGTCTATGGAAGTATCGGTGTGTGGAATAGTGTAATAGTCCTTTGACTTGAGGTCAATACGCAATTCATGTATAGAGTGATTTACTTAGACCTAGTCCAATGCTTACGCCCTTATGGGTAGACACGGGTTTGTGTTGGGTAGATCATGATATACATGGAATTGGTAGTTGAGCCAAGAAAGGATTCATTCCTTGAATATAGTTTCGAGAGAACAATCGTTTTCTCTATACTGGGTTGATAAAGTTATTGGCCAATGCACATGATTATATTTGAAATGGTGTCCAAATATAATTGATAAAATCAACCAGTGAGACGAGATAAAATTATTAAGCTGTTTGGATAGACACACGTTCAAATCCTAAGCTTAATCGAGTGGTTCGTGAGTGAAGGGACCGTACCACCATTGAGTTCCACACTAAATGTTTGTTTGCTTGTCCATGTAAACATACTTCATGTTTTGAGTTCGTCCTTCGACGCAGTCTAGGAGTTTTGTAAGGATCATAAATTAGATTTATGTCAACATATGAAGGACTATAGGGTCACACTATATGCAATCAGTTCTCCGACTAAGAGTGAATCGAGAGTGTTAAATATTCAATTAGATTGGAGTATTTATTTATGAGTAATGAGATTATTTTCTATTTGATAGAAAAATATTTAATTAAGTTAAATTAGATTTATACTTAATTAGTAATGAGACAATTTTCTATTTGATGGAAAATATTTAATTAAGTTAAATTAGATTTATATTTAATTAAAATATTAATTGGATTAGGTCCAATTTATTATTGGGTTGTAGGGTATCCTAAGGCCCATATAATTAGGTTTTGACCTAATTATAAATATCTCATTATCTCTTCATAATCACTAATCGTTGGATAGATAAGAGAGAGACTTTGAGAGATCCCCAAACATCTTAGAGATTGAGAGATCAACATCAAACGACAAAACATTCTCTAGCTTTCCGGATCGAAGATTCCTAGCTTCTTCACCGGAGAGGATTCATTGGCGTTGGATCGTGCATCGGGAAACTGGATTGCATGGATACCATAGTCGAGGACATAGACGAACAATGGTAAGTTTTCGTTGATCATTCACGCGATCTAGGATCACATCGAATAGCTATTAGCCGAATCTTCGTTGTTGGTAAGAAAATTTTAAAATTTCGCTGCGCGTACACTGGATTCGTACGTTGAAAATCCAACATATGAAGAGTTTTGCTATTAACGAGGAGATATTAACAAGTGGTTGAGGGGGCAAAGATTGAGTGGCTGGAGTTTGATAGCATCAAAGTTGTGAGTTTTGAGCTAAATCAGGCAACAAGGGGGCATGTTCTTCCTCCTAGTGTCAAAACTAGATTCTTGCGCGGTAAAGTGCTCATGTTGGAATGGAGAAAGTCTTGAGACTTCATGGAGTGGGTCCAAGCTTCACTCGGTGGAACAAACTCTTTTGGAGCTGGGGTCAGGGTTGGCAGAAGGTGATTTTGTGGTGTAGAGATCGAGCTGTGTTCAAAATCCTTTCTGAGGGTGTGAAGACTAATTGGGATACTGTAGTATTAGCGGAGAACACATGTTTCATTTTCTATGTTTTAAGTCAGGGGCGTAGCTAGAGGGTGGCTCACCCGGGCTCCAGTCCAATCTTAATTTTTTGATTTATTTAAATATGTAGTACTAGAAAAATATTTTTTAGCTCATGTATACCAAATTAGTTCTAGCGGCCCAGTATAGAAAATATTTCTGGCTAGTTTTAAGTGTTTGTAAAGTTAAGTATTGCTACTAAGTTTGATCCTATTCCTTGTGGTGTTTTTATTTGTGCCGCGCGTTGCGGTGTTCTGTTTATTACCGAGTGACGTCTTTAAGGTCTCATGTGTGTTATCCCCTACTGGATTTACTTTGTCTAGACTAGGTTTGGACAAAGTTGATCTCAACCCGTTGGTTTGATCTGTATGTATATTGTGAGTTGCTTCACTAAAATTTGATATTTAGATAAAAAAAGTTTTAAAAAAAAAGAAGAAAAAAAATTGTAGTTAAAATTTGATAATTATTCTGAGGATGATTGGATATAAAAAATTTTGGTTTTGTTTGGATTTTTTGTTTGGTTTGGTTAGTTTTGAAAAATTTGGTATGGTTAATTGTTAATGGATATAATAAAATAATATTTAAAATAAAATGATTAAAGTTGATTTGATGTAAAGTAGGAAAGAGAAGATCTGAAGTGATGGTTAATTAAAATTATGTGAGTGGATGAATAGTAAATTAATGTGATATTGTGTGTAAGAATAATTGATTGATATTATTTAATTATATTGATAATATTGATGATAGTGAGGTTGAGTTAAAATTGAATTAAAAAAGTGATTGAGTTAAAAATGTTTGAATTTTTTGAAAAATTTTTGTATCCAATTATGCTCTCTACGGAGTTTTTGTTTTTTTTTTTTTTTTTTTT